AGAGAGAGAGAGAGAGAGAGAGAGAGAGAGAGAGAGGGAGAGAGAGAGAAGAGGAGGAGAGAGAGAGAGAGAAGAGAGGGAGGAAGAGAGAGAAGAGGGAGAGGGAGGAAGAGAGAGAGAGAGAAGAGAGAGAGGAGAGAGAGGGAGGGAGGAGAGAGAGTGTGTGTGTTGTGTGGTGGGTGTAATGGAGAGATCCCCTGCCTGGTCTGGGAGATAGAAATACCCACCGCATACATTTCCGCTCCGTCGGCCACCGAGGATGACGGCTGCGCTCCGGCGGCGGCGGTCAGATGGCCGCCGTTTCCAGCTCATGGACGTCCGCGGCGAGCTGCCGCGGCGCACCGACACATCCATCACACGCGGTGGTCGCACGACCGAGCTCGGCAGACCAGGGCAGACCGAGATCCATAATGCGTGGCGACGGCACGACCGAGCCCGGACAGACCGGGTAGATCCAGATCCATCAGACGCGGCGGTCCCAAGACCGAGCCCTGCAGACTAGGGTAGACCCAAATCCATAACACGTGGCGACCACTATGACCGAGCCCGGGGAGACCAGGGCAGACCCAGATCCACCAGACGCCGGCGGCCGCATGATCGAACCCAGGCTGATCAGGGTATATCCAGATCCATTATACGCGGCGGCCAGCGACCGAGCCTGGGCAGACCAGGGCAGACCAAGTCATTTTATATTACCCGTCCGTGGTGCTCCTGAAAAGACTATCGAGCGTTTTTAAGGATGCGCTTTCCCTATGAAGTAGCCTGGGCGGCACAGGCGATACGCAGCTGTTTTAACAGTGCCGTAGCCGTTTGAGGGATGTAACAAATATGCATTACTTTAACAGCTGCGTATCGCCTGCGCCGCACAGGCTACTGGTCAGGACTATAGACGGCCTTTAGGGAAAGCGCATCTTTAAAAAGTATGATATTCTGTTCAGACGCACCACAAACAAATGGTATGAAATAAATGTCTCCTTCAAGGGAGCGTTCCGCATTTGCATGGGATTTTTACCTGAAATAGCCATCTTGAAGATCATAATGCAGTTCACAGCCCTGCTCTTCTTAATACCTAAGCCCTTCCAGTTTCTAAGCTACACGCCCGTGAAGATGTGTGAGCTGTTTCGGGGGACTATTTCGAGATTACCCATGCACCCATGACGCCGTAATGACGTCATTCCAATCTTGCCATTTCATTAGCTATGCGACGATCGGGTCCAACAAAATATGAGTTTCCAGTCGTTCATATCTGTCGCTCATGAGCACGACTTCCAGATAAAACGTCCGCCAATTGGCTATTAATCAATACTGTGAAGATATGAGGATATAATCAAACAATGACGTAAGGTAGCAGCATATTTACTAAACGCGGAAATTGTGTTGCCTAGAGCAGGTCTTTAAGTCCACTTCAAAGTATAGCAGTAGAGTTATTGGTATACTCATAGCTCTGTAAGTAAGCGCGTTTCATCATATCCGATGCTAGCTTCACTATCTTGAAATGTGGAACCTTTAAAGGTGATGATGTCATTGCGTAAAACAGGAGAAGTTAACATCGATACCTTTTGGAAGTAAACGTTTTATGCAACTCTATTTGTGAACCTGGATCTGAGAATGATCTCTGACACGTGACTGAAGATCCAGAGAGGGTCGCTGTGATTCAGACTCGGGACCACACACACCTTAAGTGCTCCGGGGTGACTCAAGAGATGAGATTTGGGGTGTCTAGGGGCCGTAAAGGAGGGTATTTTTCGGCTCCACAAACGCGAAGGGGAATAAACGCACAGAATAAGAGGTACAAAAAATATATTTGCCGACATAGAATTTCAGGCAGCAACAGCCTTTCTGACTGCTCTGCAGGTCCCATCTGGCCACTAAGGATATATTTGGCTGTTCACGGAACTCTTTCTAACCATCATCGGCTTTCCAGCTACCTAAGGGCCCTCATAGTCACTTAAGGCCCGTCGGCCTTAGAGAAACTTCAGAAATGTACAAAGTTGATCCTGTATCCGCCTTTCTGTTCTCATTAAAGTTTCCCCGCATTCGAGCCGCCCGCTTGTTCGGAGCAGCCTGCATGCGCCAGCCGTGAGCGGTCTTGAACTGTCTCCTGGTGGGTTTCGCCCAAGCGCCGAGCACATACTCCGTGTAATGTTATCAGGGTTGTTCTTGTCGCCACGCGTTACCTGATACGCAGCAGGACGTATTGCGAACGGTTTCAAAAGATGACCTGGCGGCCCGAGGAACACTTCACCAATGCAGGACGAGGAGCGGTCTTGAAGCGGCGTCCACGCCGGCGTCCGATCGCCTCCTGTTCAGCGAAAACAAGTGGCCGGCTGCCCCGCGGCGCCGTGCCGAACGTTCGGTCACGTGACTCCTGGTCACCACGCCGGCAGCGGCACCGCCCAGGTCCAAGAAAGCCCGCAGGTCAGTGGCACATAACAGGGGCGGCACAACGCTGCCGACGGCCGGACGACCAGCTGTGGTAGCCCTCGTATAGCTACCTAAGGCCCCTTGGGCCTGAAAGAGAGCTTTAACAATGACTAGCGTCGATCCTGTATCCACTCTTTATCCTCATTCACGTTTCCTCTTGCATACGCGACGTCCGTCTGTACGGAGCAATCTACATACTGACCAGGGCGTTACATGGATCATGCGGTACTCCCTTTTACAAAGTCAAAGTGCGCCTCGAAGAGAGCTGCTGTGGTAATAGGGAAGGAATCAATGCCACGATACATCGTTTCGTTGAATTCGCGGGATAATAGCTTCGTGTTCGCACATCTTTTGTCAAAAAGGTGGGATACTCCCTTTAAGCGCCCACTGAAGAGAGTTCTGTCCGAGAGGCCGCACGCACCATATCGAGGGCCCCTGTATAGACTAGAGTTGAAGGGCGGACGACACCAAGAGCTTGTAGCATGTAGCTCTTGCCACATTACCACCCTGAAATGGTCATGACGGCCGACATGGCTCTAAGCGAGACCGAACCAAACCAAACCAAACCAAACCAAAACGTCACCATGCAAGAATGCACTCATAGAGGAGCATACAGTGACGGTTTATACCGACTGTGTCCCTCTCTTAGAAAATGTGGGGTGAGGCGCCATACATAAAAACACAAATAAACTAGCATATATAAACCAGCATATATAATAAACTAGCAAATAAACAAGTAAACAACAAGTCATCTTGGATTATCAAGTTTAAGTTATCATTGTTAAGCGCCATGACGCTGAAATATTGCAGGAAGTGGTTCCTACAGAAGTCAAGAACGGTAGTATGACGGTGTGTAGCTGCTATTCCCTCAGCCCGGCCTTCATGCGTGCTCCCGCGGGGACGTCCTCTAGTCATCCTACCTACCATCGATCAACAATCCATTTCACTACATTCCTTGAATTTCGTTTCCGTGCTGAACTGGCATGGTACCAGCCATCCAGCCACTGCTGCAGGTGTTTTATTGCTTGGTAGACGCATTCCTGTTGTCAATCAGGAAAAAAGCCAACGTACAAGGGCTGAAAATCAAGGACGTGGAACTCGTACTGACGGTTCTAGTACAGAGACTGGCGTGCTATTAGACGAATGCGCTCAAATTCGGACTCGGACTGCGATCCGGACTCATGCCACCCGTGACCCATGCTAGCCAATAACCGCGTTACGGTAGGGTGAAGACAGCGGAGACGGAAACAGCGCATGCATGGTGCCCCCCCCCCCCCCTTCTGCAGAGATCGCGTGAGAAATGTCTCTGTCTGCAGGAATACCGTCGAGGCTTGCCCACCGGGTGATGGGCTGAATTACAAGCCATCCGCCTGGGCTGAGCATGTAAGCTCCCAGGGTATGGGTTAACGCTGTCAGTTGTCACGCTTGTCGTGTATTTTTGCATGTGTTAATAGCTTCTGGTGCACTCCCTTCGACTGGTGAACCCTCCAAGAAAGGGGAGCAATGGACGGGTTGTCATGAAAACAAATGTTATGGCTGCGCATGAGCCCGTCCAATGACGTCATTTGGGGACAAGACTGTCGGTGTATCGGCAGATCTCTTCACATGGCTTACCTACTGAAACATAGGAATTTTGGCTTACCAGTGTGTGGAGAATAAAATTTTCTCAGGGTTGCGAAATCATCGTCAGCAGATATTTGGCTTTTCACACTTAAAGAGCAAGAGACATCAGAGCACGGTATATCACTGTTAACGTATATTGCCTGTAGCTGCCTCGTCCACACCCAAGAGCGACATGCTCACCTTGTGTGTACAATAACGAGCTGTCTGGCGCGTTCATATCTGCCTGGGCGTCCCGCCCGGCGCGGCGTCCGAACACCCCAGGACCGCCTCCTAACACGCCCTCGAAGGGGTACTGCACCGCACTACCTCACGGCAGGTGGACAAGCACCATGGCGATGTGTCCGTTGTCTTACTGTACCCACCGGATCCAACAGTGGAGTAGACTGGAGCTGCACGGTCGGAGCACGGTAGCGAGCTGGTTAGCACCGACGTTGTGTTTGCCCTCTTCTATCGGCCGGGACATAATGATATAAAGCTTGGCCAGGAATGTAACGTTCGATCAATCACAGAAGATAGCAAAATAAGTCGCAAAACGACATGAAAACTATCTATAGGGCAGCTGAGTGCTCTATATCACATGCTAATACTATGCGCTTAGTTCGAAGTCGATATGTTTTTTCACAGTGTGCGGATGCAAGACAACCCTGTCTCTGGTATTCCTGGACAAAACATAAATACCCGTCCTTCGCCGCATCGGACGGGTCTTCTAACTCCAATTCGACATCCACTCTACCGATTTAATTTAGTGCTATCGTGTCCAAACACCTAACACCCGGCAATGGCACTTGGAGCAGAGCCCGCCGTGTTCGCCGCCGGCTTCGTTCGGTTCGGCCTCGGCGCGACCCGCGCGCCACTACATCTGCAACTCGAACGTTTTGACGGTGGCGCCGCCTATAAATGGATTGGTGGCGGTACCTGGCGGGCCACCGGCGACGGCGTCGGCGCGTCGCGTCCAGGGCGGCTCGGTGGGGCCGGCCGCGCCCCAGGGCGGTCCCGAGGTCGCCCAGCCGCCGCCGCTCGAGATCAGGGAGTCGGAGGCGAGCGAGTACGAGCGGCCGTGCCGGTGGACGGCCGCGGCCGCCGCCAGCGACGGTCCGTTGGTCAGCGAGTTGAGCCACTCGTCTGGCCTGGGAGTGTGCTCATCGTCGGGCGCCCTCTGGTGGGACGGTGGCGCTGGTCAGCACGCGCGCAGCACTCGACGCAGGCGACGGCACGGCTGACACGCGGTGGTGTTTTCCCTAACACTGAACACACACGAAGGTGCACGCAACTTGACAAAAATGACGATGTTTGACAATGAACAAGGACACAAATAGTTCGCCGCTTACATAAATGCGAAATAATCGAAAAGTTGTGGCTGTTATTAAAGTGACCGTCACAGCGATGCTTTGATATCTCCTCAACAGAACATATCGTTGACCAGAATAGTGCCAAGAGATGTACGCTAGAGCTCGAATGCGCTAAAGGTCACAGGAGAATCTACACTCCAAAATGAGGCCATCACCACCAGTGATGCTGCTATGTCGCGCATCGTTGTATTTGATACTCCGAAGTCATAGTCATGCAAATTCCCGCGTCAAACAATTATTTAACGATGATTTCTTTCGTAGCTTACCATGACCAGCTGGCTGGGCTGAGTGATAGCCGGATCTGGTCCGCACTCACTTCAGGCCGCCGTGACGCTGGAGATGCGCACAGCTGAACATTGAATGCCAGGTGATAGCTCACCTGTTGGCCAGCAGATAGGACGTCCAGCCCCTGCGCCAGCTCCCTGCAGAGCAGAGTGACGTTCGTCTCCTCTTGCTCGGCTGTTGAAGGGACCTCAGCAATAGGCGCCACTGAAACAGTGCGCATCAATGATATACCTGCCCACCACACGGCATTTTTTCCTTACATTCCATAGCAGCTGAAATTTAGGTTACGGTGCGATTTCTCAATCGCTCGGGGTAAGCCGCTGTGTGTGTGTTTTTTTAGTCCCTTCGAGCATTATGTTACCCCATTTACCTCCTCCGCTCCTTTAACGGGCGGTTCAAACAAACACGGCAATGATGGCGATGAGACACGGCAATTCACACCCAGTGCCGAAAAACATGCCGCACACCGACGCACAACACCAAAGTGCAGGTTTAACAGTAGCTGGCCCCTCATCAGCGAACGCACACCGACAAGTTGTATGCAACTATGAGTTACACTAAAGCAGTATTTAGGTCTACGAAACAGTTCCAGCGAGCACTAACGAAATCGCTAATTTCCATTCTTTAGATCACAGTCACACTAGCAGTCACGCATTGATTATGAGCATAGGCTTACACTGATGGAGAGATCGCGAAGGGACGTACGTTACTGCACGATGCTTAGGCACAAGCGTAAGCCAAAAAAACGCGTAGTAACATTGCATCTCACGCCGTCTGCTGATGCACATGACATCCGCAAAAGGGGCACGCAAGATGCAAGCTAACCCAACAAAACATCGCTAAAACATCAGCCACGCAGCGCGGCCTCATTCCAATAGCCTTCTGTACACAACAGTCAGCCACACGTCCGCTCGCTGAGGCCCTCGCGCCGCACGAAGGACTGGCAGGGCGGTGGATGCTCTGGCGCGGGCCCCATTCGCCCCGACGCCGCCAGGCTCTAGCTGCGGGTCACACTGGTCTCGGCCGTCGCCGACTCACTGTCGAAAAGCGAGCTGGAGGCGAGGGACATGTGGCGGCCGGCGCGGCCGCCGCCACTGGGCGACGCCTCCTCCACCGGTGCCGTCAGTGAACTGTGCGGCAGCGACATGATGCGGCCGCGCGCCAGAGGCGGGCGCGGCTCGGCCTCCGCTGCGCGCCCGGTCATGGGGTCAGGCCACGAGGTCATAGAGTCAGGTTTCGGGGTCACAGAGTCAGGCATCGGGGTCACGGAGTCAGGTCCCGGGGTCACAGAGTCAGATTAAGGGGTCACAGAGTCAGGTCTCGTGTTCACAGAGTCAGGACACGGGGTCACGGAGTGAGATCAAAGGGTCAGGTCAGGAATTGGTGAGATGAAGGGGTCAGCGATCTGAGAGCAGCTGGCAAGGGGCGAATGGCGTTGCGTTGCGTTGCAAGGGGGTCATTCAGAGGGGTCGCCGGAGGAGCAGCCGACGATTTCGGAGAATTTGAAATAGGAGTGCGCCGAGAGTTAAGGAAATCTTGACCAGCGCCCCAAAACGTCACAAAGGTTGAAGTTGATAGGTGTACGAAGGATACTGGTGTACGACGGCGTGCGAAGGCGTAGCGTAGCGGTGAGTAGGCATGGTGAAATCTCAGAAAACCCTAAGGTGAGTTTTGCTGGGGCTTATGGGTGGTAGAGATCAGTGAAAAACGGATTACGGCTCATCCCGGCGCGAGAAGGTGGTCGGTAAAGTGCCGAGGATGAAAAAATGAGCGGTGCAAGAAGTTCATGATACATGGTATGTACTCGGGGACGAGAATGTGGAGCCACGGCGAAAATATTCAGAATCTAGGTAATTAAAAGCTAACCCAAAACGTTTATCTTACTCAAACGTTCTTCTTAACTTAAACACGCGCCCGGTTGGCCGGCTAAATAACCCTTCGCTCGGGTGGGGGTCAGTTTGACCCCGCTGAGATCTCGGGAATTAAGAAAGCTACAGACACGAAATTTACAGGGTGTTTTGACCTGTACGTGAACTCACTTAGGTCAAAGTTTTAAGTTCCTCGGAAATGACCTTTGGGTCAAAAAAGGTCAAACAGGCTCAAGCCCCAGGTTGGTCCCCAGTGCCCCCAGAACCTAGATAACCGTTTCTAAGCAAAAGGTCACATTCTCATTTAAGGTCAATGACCTTTTTTGATCTTTTCAAGGTCAAGATGACAAAAAATCATACAAGGGTGCTTTGAGTTCTGCTTTTGACTGAGCGACAAAGATTACGCCGGGCAGTATGTTCCTAAAACGAAGTGTTGACCTTAGGTTATTTCAGGTCAATGACCTATTCTGACCTCTAAGAAGTCCATGGAAGATGTATAATGCCGTCCCTGCTATCAATGAATTCGAAATGAGCACCAGAAACTATTTCATACAGCAAGCCCTAGAATCATAAAACAGATTGGTTTTAGCCTTGGGGTGACCGACCTTGGCGTGAGATGTCAACAAATAGCGTATGCTCAGCACATGCATTAAGGTGGGTATCCTGTCGCTTGTATGAATATCATTGAATTAATTGTGGCTGTTAGAGCTATAACAACAGATGCTTTGTATTCTGATAATTTGTAGCACGCATACGATTTGCCGCCCGGAGTAACGGTCAACGTTTTGGTCATCAAGCTGGTTGGTTGGTTCCGAATGTTTGGTTACGATTAAAGGTGGTCTATCCAGGAACACAAAGCTGTTCAGCTCATTCGGCGTCAATGTATACCTGATTTCAACCAGTATTTTGGTGACCTAATGCAACACAAACTTGAGATGTGGCCGGAAAATAGTCATGTGATATTGATATTATATATCAAGTTATGTATAAATATAATATTAGACTGCATATTAGATTATATATAATATTTATTATTTACAAACTGACCAAACTGACAAACTGATTATACAAACTGGCCCCCCACTCGAGCGAAGGGTATCTAGTCGGCCACCCGTGCGCGTGTGAACGGCTCGACTAAGCCAACTGTCTGGGGTGGCCCGACTGGTGGTCGGTGTAGACTACCACCGGCCTGTCTTTCAGCAATGCGCCACCACTTCACCCGCGTGGTCTCCCACCCCCCCCCCTCAATAGTCACCGGGTAGGACCGGCTCCTCTGGTCGCCCCCTCCCCCCCCCCCCCTCCCACCCCCCGGCACTCACCGCCGACGCCGGCGGGGCCGGGCACCCGGCCCTGACGCTCCAGCGTCGAGGGCAGGTCGTCCAGCCGCAGCGAGTGCTGCCGCTTGAAGGGCGACACCTCGGCCAGCCGGCCGTGCACCCGCAGGCTGCCCTGGCGCTCGAACATTGCGACCGGCGCGTGCGGCCGCTCCACCGCGAACGGGTTCGTCACAGGCCGCACCGGTACCGGCTCTGCAGGCGGAGCGCAGCGGGACATGGTGTAAGCAGTGCTTCTATGGTTTAACGGCAGATGTCGGTGCTAAGTATTGTGGTCGCAGGACTCGTCAGCATACAACTGATGTATCACCATAGCATGAGCTGTTTCACTACTGGGCCCAAGAACATTTCCATGGTACCAGCCCTGTAGCTAGTGATCACCAAGGGCATGGTCGAATTTTAGACCTCGTTCGTAGCGCTCCTCATTATCACGTTCTCCCCACCAGCCTCAAATTTCAAACCACCCTAGGCAAATCGGTTTGCGATGCCATAAATGGCGAAATCTGCACATTGCGTTACAAGAATGTTCTCTCTCCAACCCCTAAAAAGGGTTCGCTCCCAGCAGGTCAGCAGTCATGACCTTGCCGACATCCTGCTCCGTCGCATTTGCTGACCTGCCGACCTGTTCACCTCGCTGATCTGCGAGTCTGTGACCCTCGCACGAAGCCTTGATGATCCGCCGGTCTGTGATCCCCACGGGTCTGTCAGTGTGATACCTCTACTGACCTGTCGGTCTGTGAAGTTCACTACCTGACGGTTCGTTATCTCCACCGACCTGCCGTGCTGTGATCTTCATTCAACTGTCCTTCTGTGTGTGACCTCTGTGAAGGTGACCTTTGTGAAGTGATGCCCTGATTTGCGACAGCTTCTCACGCACTCATCCGTGACCTTCACTAATCTGCCAGTTGGTAACCCCCTTTGACCTGCCGGTATGTGACCTTGACTGACCTGTCGGTCGGCAACCACCTTTGACCTGTCAATCTGACCTGCCGGTCGGTGACCTCTAGTGACCTGCCGGCCGGTAACCTCCACTGGCCTGCCGATCTGTGACCTTCACTGACCTGCTGGTCTGTGACCTTACCTGACCTGCTGGTCCGTGACCTTCACTGACCTGCCGGCCTGTGACCTTCACTGACCTGCCGGCTTGCACTCCTGCGGGTCGGTGAGCCGCTCAGTGATGGACGCCTGCCGGAAGCTGCCGAACCGGGTGAAGCTGGACGTGTCCGGGTCCACCGTCATCGTCACCGAACACTCGCTGTCCCGCCTCTGCTTCCGCTCCAGACAGATGGCGAACGCGCATCCGACCGCGTGGCTCAGACGCTCCCCCTGCCGACGCGGAGAGGCACGTGGAGCTGCCTTGAGATGGCATAGCATCCAGCTGCTGAGCATGAGATGAGCATCCAAGGTACCATGACATCCACGAGTTGTGCAAGAGCCGTGAACGGCTCGTGGTCCGTGTGGGGGACGGTGCAACGTGGGTGCAACATAGCCTCGATGCCGA